GGGGACCCCGCCAGAGCCGGCTTCGGGGGTGTGGGGACGAGCGTAGGACGGCGGCGGGGTGAGACCCGAGCGCGCTGCGCGCGGCTGCGCTCGGGGCAGGTAGGTTGGTTGCCCGACGGGCGGCGCCCTGTGGAGCCCGCCTCACCCGGGCTGCGGGGCGACGGTGCGCCTCGCACAGCCCCGCCCCCCACGTGCGAAGCCGTGGCCCTCGCGGTGAGCCGGGGCTCTGCCTCCCTCCCGCCTGCCCGCCCCGTGGCCTTGCGCCCCAGCAGAGCCACCGGTTCCACGCGGCCTCAGAGCGGAACTTCCCAACTTCGTGTTCCCGCGGACACCGAGTTTCTACTCCCAAAGTAAAACCAACCTGGGTTTGGTAAACGCATGCTTCGTATTTGTTAGGAACCCTGTCAACTGATTGGTTATTCTGTGGACCTTAGGGATCCAGCCTTCCGACTTCGATTCTGCTGGAGTCGGATTTTTCCGAGGGGGTTCCATTTACCGTCATGGGGAGGGCCACGTTTGTGAGGCCACCCCGACCCTCATTGTTTTTACCTTTTCTCCTTTTCTACATCAGGAGGGATTTATGCTGGATTGCCTTTCCAAGTTCCCAGACCTGATGTCTGTTGTGAATGCACAGAATCTCAGATTAGGTAATGCGTTCTGCCACTTCTCCCTCTCATCTTAACTTTTTACAGGTGGAAATGGGAGAAAGAGCAGAATTTATAGGGAGTGTAAGTGACAGAAAAATGACCTGCATGGCAGCTTAGGAAACACCCCCAGACCCAAGGGAGGGGGCACGATAACGTTTTTTTCAGTTTTATTTAGTCCAAAGAATAGCATTTTGTTTAGGTCCAAAGAATAACCAATAATTTATATGACAGAAAATTCATCCATTTTAAGTGTACAATCCAGATTTTTAGTGAGTTTACAGAGTTGTACAACCATCACCACAATCCAATTTTAGAACTTTCCCATCACTCCCAAAAGGATCCCTTCTAGCCAATGGCAGTCAATCACTTTTCCTACACTCAGCCTAGGCAACACTAATCTAACTCCCAGCTCTGTAGATTTATTTGCCTTTTACGGCTGTTTCTTACATGTGGAATGGTACAATATATGGCTTCTTTTACTGAGCATGTTTTTAAGGCTCATCCAATTTTCCAGCATTTATGAGTACTTCCTTTGCATCGTTGAATAGTGTCCCCCTACATTTTATGTCAAGAAACAAACATACCACCACCACCTGGAAGCCAAATATTGTAGTGGTCTCACAGCTATTTTCTCCATTTGGAATGAGTCAGTATTTGCACCAGGCAACCAGGGAGTGTCTATTTCATTCCCTTTACTACCTGAATGTCTTCTGGAGAGGAGACTTATTAAATAACATTTATGCGCTGGGGGTTTTTGATTCTTATTTCCATGGCTGCTTTAAAGATTTAATCCCTTGCATGGTAGACTGACCCTTTTCTTAGAAACCCACCAGTAATGTAGTCACCACCCCTGATATTTTCTTTGGGTGAAAGTTCAAGCCTTCAGGACAATTAAAGCTGTCTTTTACATTATTGTTTATGGAGTGTCCTCAATTAGGCTGGACAAATTGTAACGATGCTATGTAATTAGAAGAGTTCACATCCTGGGGGGTGGGGGTGGGGACAAAAAGCTACCACTACACAGCACAGCAGGCAGGTGCCCAAATGGCTGAAGGGGTGCATTCTCTTCAGCTCTCCCACAGGATGCAGCCCTCCTGTGATGTAATTTTACTGAGCCATTTGGCAGAGTCAAAACTATGCAGCTATTTCCATGACTAACCCTGAGTCTGTGACTGTTAAAAAATACAGGAAATACCTTATTGAGTTTCATGGTTATTTACTCAAATATGCATTTTAATTATTTTATTTTGAAACGTTTAAGAGAAGTTAGTCTTTATTTTTCTGTTTTGAACGGCCAACCAAGGAGAGTGGGGAGTGGGGATGAAATTTCTCATTCTCACTTTATTTGTACCTCATGCTCACCATAAGCATAATGAGGAAAAAAATACCTGAATTCAGGAGGTAATTTCTTCTGCTATAGAAATACTTCGAGGGGTATGTTTGACTTAAAAAACTAATTGTTAAAATTATAGTTTTGTATTCAATTGGGTGATATTTCAAGGCATTGTACTCCTAGGATGCCTGATTAGTTTATCCTACTTTAATTAAGTGTATTTGATATTTGACATTTAGACTAACTCCCTATACAGCAGTGGATTTTTGGACTGTGCTGCACAATGAACCACCTGGGAAGCTTTAAAAAGTACCGAAGCCTGAGTCCACCCCAGAGAGTCTAATGTAATTGGTCTGGAATGGAGTCAGAACATGTTAAGTCCCTCCAGGTGATTCTAATGTGCTTTCTGCGGTGCATAATACTTAGCTCAGTGTTATAGGTTAAGCTAAGAATTCTAATTTTTCATTCTTATTTCATTATCTTTTCATTAAAATTCCACTTTAAACTACTGTGTTCCCCTGATAAAACATGGAAGCATCTTCAGGCCTGGTGGTTGTTTGAAAACAATCCTTAACAGAAAGGTTGAAAACTCAATTTCAAAAGTAATTTTCCCTAAGTGTGCCATCTGGCCATATTTCTAACTTTGTGCAGAATGAGCTGACATTGTTAAGGGAGTGAGCTACCTCAAAACTGATACCCTAAGTGGCATCTTCAGGCTTCAAGATGCTGCTGACAGCCCTAAAAGAGTTTCTCAAAAATAGCATGGTTATCTGATTAGATTTGGTTCATTACCTACATAAGATAAGCTCTTACTTTAGAGGTCCCCTCTCTGTTCTGTTTTTACCTGAGTATTAATCGGTGTTGCCTTGAGGTTTTTAATGTTTTTGTTACGGGTCTTTTATTTTTTATCTTTTGAAGGAATATCAGTCCCGCCCCACCCCCGTACCATTTAAGCTCACCTGTAAACTGTTATTTAGCTAGTGAAATACATAGTAACTGGGTTTTATTTCAGTTACAGTGAACTTAAAATGAACTTATTCCCTTTTAGGAAGTGTATGTTTATCCTGCAGTGTTCTATAAGTTTCTATGATTGGCTATAAAGCATAATCATTTTAGAAATGCCTATCACCTAAGTTATTTAATCCATAGTTATCTTTATTCTAGATCTACTTTTCTTGATTCTTTTTTGTTGTTCATGTTTAACGTTGAGCAAGTATATACATCTAGCTTTCATTTTTTGATGATTTCTAGCAACGGAGTAAATGCCCACAGCCTCTGGGGAGTGAATATTAAAACGTTGATTCAGAGATAGCCCTGTGATCACTAGCAATCACTTTCTTTTTTGGGGGCCTCATTTACCTTTCCTATAAAATGAAGGAATCTTCCACTGGCCACATTCTGTGACTGGCAAATGCTCCCTGGGCTTTAAAGGATATACTGTTTTCTGGGGGTTGGAAGGCTGTGCCAGGTGGCTCCCAGTTGTCCCAGGAGCCATCCTTTCTTCTGCAAGTTCTCTTTCTATTCATCTCTTTCTGCCAAACTATGGCCTGGATCATGTTTGCCCCTATTTAATGAGAGGTAATGGAGGTCACATTGCCACTGGAATGCCACAGGGATTTCCCTGCCGAGGAAGGAAAGCTGCAACAGTGGAACATCACTTAGTTCTACAAGGGCCAACACACATCCCATGTAAGCTCCTCAAGGTCAAGAATCTTACTCTCTTTCTTCAATGCTCCACCCCTGGTCACCAAGGAAGTGTGTAATACATAATAGGTACTCAAGAAGTATTTGTTGAATGAATGAATCAATCCCATTTTGTCTTGTCATTTGCTACCTCGTATTGATTTTTAAAATCTTTTAAAATCTTAGAATCTAGGTTTTAGGTTTATGGGAAAATAGATAAATAGTAAAGTTCCCATATACCCCACACCCAGTTTCCCCTATTATTAATGTCCTACATTAGTGTGGTACAGTTGTCACAATTAATGAACCAATTCTGATACATTATTACTAACTTACATTATAATAATGTAAGTTATTTAATAATAACTATAAATCTTAGAATCTAGGTTTTAGGTTTATGGGAAAATAGATAAATAGTAAAGTTCCCATATACCCCACACCCAGTTTCCCCTATTATTAATGTCCTACATTAGTGTGGTACAGTTGTCACAATTAATGAACCAATTCTGATACATTATTACTACTTACATTAGTATTATAAGTACATACTTATAGATATTATTAAAGTACATACTTTATTAAGATTGCCTTAGTTTTTACCCAGTATCTTGTTTCTGTTCCAGGATTCTCTCCAGAATACCACATTATGTTTAGTCAGCGTGTCTTAGACTCCTTTCGGCTGGGACACTTTCTCACATTTTCCTTATTTTGAAGACCTTGACGATTTTGAAGAGTACTGGTCAGGTATTTTGTACGATGTTCCTCA